ATATGGTACTGAGCATTTAATATGTGCTAGACTGCTTGATCAGGTTTGTGTGTGTGTGTGTGTGTGTGTGTGTGTGTATGTGTAGTTTATTATCCCTTTTTAATCTAATGACAAACATATTAGTTAGATCATATCCAGTGACTTGGAGAGAAATTATAGTCCTCATAGAAATTAAGAGAGAAGCATCATATGAATTTGGCTTCACCGTAGTCCCTCCTGGAAAACAGAATTAAAGAAAGTTGAAATAGCATGGCTTTATTTTCTCTTCTCTCTTTTGGGTATGATGCTTTGAGATTTGTGATGAGAAAAGCCATGCAAGCAAATTAGTAGAATACGATTGTACTTCGTAAGACTCATTTAAAGAGACAGAGAAATATGTTACTGTCTATTTCCATATTATATATCACTCAAATAACGAAGGACATTTAAAAATCTTGTTTTTATGAATAAATATCTTATTAGTGACCATTGTCAGAGATTGTAACCTGTTAATTTTCAGTATCACTGAAAATGTTTAATTTTCTCTAGAAGGCTTTTTTTTTTTCTTCCTATTTCTCTCTTCTAAATACCTTATAAGGGTATATACAATAGCGAGACTTGCTCAGTATTATTTACTTTATTAGGCAATGAGTCCTTTCCAGTATGGAAGTGCTGACTTCCAATGCAAACACTGCTTGTAGTCTTCAAAGTTTTCATCATTGAGGACAAATAGGAGAGGAAATAAATTGTTTATTGGTTACAAGAGGTAGTAGATGCTATAAAAAGCATATTATTGGCTATTTGTTAGCAAGTATTCTGAGGCATTTTAAATGATTATTGCAATAACCATATTCTTTCTATCTGTTCTGTTATCTCTCTTATCTATCTATAAAATAGTTGTGGTTTGATGAAAGCTGCAAAGGAGTTGGTCCCAGGACATTATGAATATTAAAAAACAGAAGATCTGTCACAGCCAGCAGCAAGTGTAGCACTAAACGTTTCTCCCGATAAGGTGTCCACTACAGATGATACTATTATTCAGTTAGACAATCACAAAGATGACAAGAGACGAGACTTCTGCCATTCAGGAGCTCATAAGCAAGTAGAAAACACATAGAAATCGATGAATCCTATAATGGAAATGTACAGAAGCTGGTATGGAAACCTACAGGCCTTTTCGCTGTGGTTAGAAGATGATTGGACGTGGAGCCGAAGAATTGGTTTCGCTTGCTCACTGTGTGGCTTTTCTCAGGCCTCTTAAATCAAGTTAAGCCTGAATTGCCTTATTGGTAATTTAAGGATAATAATACATCTTGCAGGTTGTGGGGACTCGCAATTGAAATATTTGATGAAACTACTTTGTAGAGTGAAATGTGGATATAAGATTCTTCTATTCCACTTGATAGAGTGACTTTAATAATGTAAGCCATATTGTATAAAATCGCAGCATGGTCCTTGCTTTGTGGAGTCTATGCAGTCCTTTAGGGAACCGAGAGGACATTCCTCTCCGTGTGCTTTTCCACAGCGACATCTCCGACACATGCTCTTATCACTCTTTCCTGAGGGCTCAGAAACAAAGCAGCCAGGAAGACTGCTGGTTGGTTTTGTGTATTCCTATCCCCAGAGCACATGCATGGGTAGAATTTCTCCCTTCAAATCTGTACCTGTCAGCACGTGAAGGAGATGAGATGGAGTGGGTGGGACTTGCCAAAGGCGCACCATTGAGGAGTGAAAAACAGAAACAAGAAGGCAGCTCTTTTCTTCCCAATTTAATAGTTGGCAGAATTTATTTTATGAGACTTCCTTAAAATCATCACACATGAAGTTCAGCTTACCTTGATGGAAAATTGAATAGGTTGATAAAATATTTCAACTTCTGTTCACTTTCTTAGTGGAGCACCATAAAAAAATATAATCTACTTGAATAATTATCATAGTGATTCCCCCCCCTTTACTTTTTTGAAGAGTGAAAAACAGTGAGAAGAAGTCAATTCAGATGTTTATCCTTGCTCACAAGAAAAAGAGACTGTCCATTGGCTTCAAACAAGTAGGCTGTCTGCCTGCTTTAGTATAGAAATCGCCACATGCAGTTAGATGTGTTGCTGATACTTCACTCTTTTGGGTACCTGCACATTTGGGAACTTACTACATTATCTCCCTAACATGGAGGACAGGTATTGTAGTGATAATTAGCAAGCACATATTTGCACATTTGCAGCAGTTATAGTAGACGCTTGTTAAGTGAATGAACTCTTAATTAAAGCTTGATTCTCTGATTTTGCCTCATCAACTCCTAAAGTTACTGAAGGACAAAAGAACAACAAATTAGATTTCCAAATATATGGCGGGGAGGGTAGAAGTTGTCACTTTCATCGTTCTTATGTCCTATTCACCTAGTGTCCCCCATCTTCAGGTTTAAAAATTAAAATAACTGTTAAGTGAGATCTCCTTTAATTTCTTATACAACATGGGTATTTAGAAAAATATCCCTGTACATTCTCATCCTCTTTCCTTTAGCCTCAGAGGAAATAAAGCACTTCCACATCACTAAGCACAACCCATCCACTGAGGTCCTTGACTCAGTCTCCGCCTACCTTCTCATGCCCCTCCTGGTATTTTTATTTTTTCCGAAATCTCCAGTACTTCCTTCTTTATTTATTTTTCTTCTTAGTCTACTATTGCTCACGTTTCTCCCAGTTTGTCAGACCACATTTGAGTGCAGTTACTCTCTAGTTTATACTCTCCTGATTCAAGTCCTCAGAAGCGTTGGCCATTCTTCACTTACTTCCTGCCCGTTCAGTCTTCAGTCCATTGTCCTCTGGCCTCTGGCCACCACCCTGACTGACCAAAGCTGCCATGGATACAATCACTGGTGATTTTCTAATGGGTAATTACAGCATATTTTTTCAGCTGTTTATTTTATTGGACTTCTATATTGTGTGTAATTCTCCTTGAAACTGCTTCCTTGACTTTCATGACCCGATCATTTTTCTTCTTCTTGTATCTTTTTAATTGTTCTTTCTCTGTCTCCTTGATGATTGCGTTTTCTCTCCTCAGCCCTCAAATACCGATACTCCTCAGCATCCCTCTTTGATCCTCTGTTCTAGTCTCTGCTCAAACTTGCCTCAAGTGATCATAGCCATTTTTATTATTTCAGATACCACCTACACACCGATGACTACTAAATGTATTTTCAGTCTAGACTTTGTCTCACCCTTAGGCTCATGTGGCTAATTTCCAGGTGAACATTTTTGCCTAGATTTCCTCCAGTTGCTTCACAGTTTACATGACCAAACCTTAACTTTTTTCATCATTTTTCCTAAGCCAGTTCTGTCTATATTTTTTACTGTTTCAGTTGGTAGCACCATCATCTACCTAGTCACCTAAGTTAGCACTGTGGGATGCTTTTATTAGTCCTTCTACTGCATTGCCCACACCCAGTCAATCAGCCGGCTTCCAGATTGTATTTTGATGGTTTCTATTTATTTTCCTGGTCAATCCTTTCCTTTTCCTCTACTGCAACTACTTGGTTCATTTCTCTCATCACCTGATATTAGGACTTCTAACTGATCTCTAAATGTCTCATTGTGTCCTCCCCCAGTCTACCCTTCACATAGCCAACAGAGTGATCTGTGAAGTGAAAATAAGACCATTTCACTTCTCTGCATGACACTGTTTAGTGTCTCATTCCTGCTTCCATTGCTGATAGCAGTATTTCTCAGATTTGGTTTCACAGATATATGCATGTGCTTTAGAATGTTCAATGAGAACTTTTCAATTTTGTGTGTATATTTTATTGACAATCATTTTACAAAAACAACGTTACTTGTATTTATGAGGGCATCTCTGTCAAAGAATGACCTAATGTTGCTGGGTTAAACCTTAACTGTCAGAAGATTCTAGTGGTTATGGACACAGTTTCAAGGGTTTATGAGATAGATAGATAGATAGATGATAGTGATAGATAGATATATAGATAGATATTGATTAATAAGTACACATACATACATAATTTATATACAGAGTGCCAAAAATGTATACACATTTTAAGAAAGAAACTATTAATTTTAATAACCAATATATACCAATAACAAAAGATGAATACAGTCACGTTTGACTTCTGCAATTACAAGAGGTGCTCAAAGTAGTTACCATCAGCGTCCAGACACTTCTGATTATGGCGAACTACTCATTGAGTGTAGATAACATCTCTTAAAATATGTATACATATTTTTGGCACCCCTGGTATATTTATTTTTGTATATCAAGTATATGTGTGGGTGTGTATATAATTTTTCCAAAGGGATCTTACATTATTCAAGTGTGAATTATACTCTACACCCTACCTATAAATTCTAATGTTTTTAATATATTTTTTAAGATCTTCTATGACCTGGCCTCTACATATTTCTCCATCTTAATCTCTTGCCCCGTATTTTCTGTAAAAAGAGCATCAAACTACTAGTGGGTCTTTATATACGCAATGCTGTTCTTTTCCTCCTTAAGCCTGTGCTTTTGTGCTTACCCCTTTGGTACATGGAATCCTCTTGTCTTCCTCCATTCCTCTTTTAACTTTTACTTATGTTTTACAAGTTAGATGCATTAAGCTAACCAGATTCATCCTATCCTCATAGTACCCTGAGCAAATATCTATCTGTAGATATACTTTATTTCTTTATGGTTACCTGTTGGAATCTGTACCAGATGGTGGCCTCCTTCAGGTCTTATGGTTTCTTCTCTGTATCTATCTTTCAAGCATGGCACAGAGTTGAATGAGAGATAGTGACATGTGTAAATCACCTTTGCTTTCTACCAGTAAAGATAAAGACCTTTTCTACAGTCAGCCCAAGTAATCTCTTTCAGTTTTTCCTCTATTCAGCTTTTACACTGCTGTTTAAAAATGTTTCATATGTATTTGCATGCCTTATGTAGTATTTTAAGTTATAAAAATCAATGCCTAGTTTTCATATGAAAATATTTTAGCTGCAGAAAGATAACATTTATATTCCTGTCTATTTCAGGAGACCCATCTTCCCAGTTGCAGGCTCAAGAACCTGGAAGTTCTGAAAGTACATTAACCATGCTGGAAGATTCAGGATGTGATTTATCAAATGAGCAGAGAACTGAACCTTCAGAGACGTTACAGCATTTTGTGGAGAGCTGCACCCCTACACCCTTTCCACCACTGCCCATTCTAAAAAAACATGGTGCTACTCCAGAAAACCCTCTGTCTTCTCACATGCAATTCTTGCAACATCTCCTTGAACTGAAGAACTGGGCAGAATCAGAGAGTCTGAAAACAGACTTAAGCCACTTTGAAAACAACTCTTCCACAGTGTCTGATTCTGTTTTTCAGTTGCTAGATGGCCTGATCACTTTTTACCGTAAACCCAAATTTCCTTTTTCAAACTTTTGTACTGAAGCTGTTGAGACTTTAGCTAGACTGATCAGTGACTGTAACTTATCTGATCATATTCTTCAAAAGTGTTCCAAGAAGTTGGAAGAATTTGAGAAAACCCTGCTACAGATTATTTTAAGGAATGGCCATATAAATCGGGTAAGTAATAAATCTCTTCCATTCATATATGTCATATGAAATAATATGTCATTTTTTTTGGTGAACATTCCCATTGGACAGTATCTATTGCTTTGTGGCTCAGAGTTTTTAGTTATATCTTTTGCAGCTCTTACCTGTCATCATGTCCCCACCTCTAGCTTCTTGATTGCTACAGCATCGTTCTCTATATAGATGCCTGTGCTTCAAGCTTGGGCCTTGTGTTATGAATGTTAATTTCCTCATGATGGATTTCCTATATTGCATTTAATTTTTTTCTTTTTCTGGCATTGAATAGCAGATGCCTGGAACCAAAGAATATTTTTCTCTTCCTTTAGAATTTCTCATGTAAGTGACGTAATACCCCATGGACCCTCTATAGATGATGTGAGTTGATTAAAGAAATTGGCTGAGGAACACATAATATATTGCTTTATTATAGTTTTTTTTTTCTTATTTAGAATGATTGACTCTTTTTTCACAATGACATTGTGGTAACCTGAAGTTGTTTTGTTGTTTTGCTCTTAAGAAATAATGGAGAGTTTCTTTTTAGTATTACTTTCTATCTTCCTCACAATCTGATCCTTTGGGAAACTCCAAATGCCTTCACATTTTAATCCTTTTTAATTGACTACTAAAAATATCACAGAGGAGACTAAAAGGTCTATCTAACTTATTAACTGTATTTCTCTTTAGGAAAAAAGATCATCAAAGCTTGTTTCTTTTGGTTTATCATTGTCAAGTGTTGGTGCTCAGTGTCATTATCTAACTGAGTTTTTAGTACAGTATATACTTTACCTGAATTTTCAAATCTCTGAAAAAATTTGAATAATCTAATTTGTTGCATATACATCTGCTCTTTTCTTCTCTCTTAAGATGTGATTTGATCAGTGTATTATAGAAACACTTTACAATTAAGCTTTTGGCATTTGTGAACGATATTGAATTTGCTGTCTAGGAAACAATTTTTTTCTACTTGATATGGTCAATCAGGAATTAAATATCAGATTTTCCATAGCAGCATTTGAGATTTGTATTTTGTTTCTTAGCCATCAATAAATCCCTCAAATACTTAATATTCTTTAATTTTTTTTTATGTATTTTTGCTTCTTTTAAAGGTACTTTAAACAGGTTTCATGTGACTTGGAACCTTTTGGATGCAAGCATTTATATTCCTTATCAGGTACCAGATGATGCAAGTATTTTTTCAGTCTAGTCTTTCTTTCGCTTAAGGATTGGTCTAGTCAAGAGTAGCCTTGGAAATGTATGGAAGTAAAGGAGTGTTAGAAGAAGCTTGTGATGATACAGATGGGTCTGAAGCATATTTTCTATAACATTTGTCATGGTGCAAGCTACTGGTGAATAGTTGGTCAGCCGTGGAAGAATAAGTGAATGGCTTTAGTCTTTTCTTGGGGAGGTAATTGTTGCATTTAGATAAAGTAGAATTATAAAATAGTGCACTGCATTTACAATTAGGATGATGATTCTTAATTAAGTTTTAATAATATTCTCCCCTAGGGATTTTTTTTTCCTCCTCAGCAAATCAACTTAGACTAAATCATTCAACCTTTTCTCACGGTTGTCACCATCACCTTATTACCATCATCATCATCTTCCAGATATGCTCACAAAGCTTCTTTGTTAGAAACACTGAGTAACCATTGCTCTTTATGAATGCTTTTCTGTCTTTTTTTAGCTTTCTTTGAGTAATAAGCAAAGTCACAAGAAATAATATATTCTGACATGCATATACAATAGTTCATATTATTGCATTTCTATTGATACTCTTGATTGATCAAAACAAAATACCATAGTTTAGAAAAAAAATTGCCTCTTTGGAAAACCTTGTTTCCATAGATTGGAGTATTTAATTAAATATATTGCTTAAAATCTTGAGCCCTGCTATTGATTTCATTAAAGTGAACTTACGTTTGTGATGTGATAGGAAAATTTGTGGTATGAATACTTTGGTATTCTGATGGAGAGATTTCATGTATTTATAATTCACCAATAGCCAGGTTTTAAATAAAATATAAATCTTCAACAACATGTTCTCAATATACTTAGTAGTAAAATTATTCTGACCTAACTTAGTTTTTCTTTAATGACAATAAGAACTTTTTATCTTTCAAAATCTTGCAGTCATCTTTGTGAATATCAGTTATGTCAGGGCTGCATATATTCAAGAGATAGGAAGTTTGAAATGAGATATCCTGGAATTGTTTTACATAATACCCTGATATCACCTTGGTTGAACTTATATAAGTTTAGGGAAAAAATATGACTTGTGATTTTTCAGATTTGGATAAATCCTATTTATTTTTGTGCTATTTTAGGAACTTTATATATTTATTTAATAACAAATTTTCTAGGAATTATCTTAGACCTGTATCTGTACAGAAATCCCTCCTTATCTGCAATTTCATTTTCCATGGTTTCAGTTACCTATAGTCAACCATGGTCCAAAATTATTAAATGGAAAATTCTAGAAATAAACAGTTCATAAATTTTAAATTGGACACTGTTCCGAGTAGCATGATGAAACCTCACCCCATTCAACATGGGAATCATCTCTTTGTCCAGCGTATCCATGCTGTATATGCTACCCTCCTGTTAGTCCCTCAGTAGCCATCTGAGTGTCAGATTAATTGTTGTGGTATCATGGTGTTTGTGTTCAAGTCACCCTTATAGTAGCCCAATGCTATGTCACAATGCTTACATCAATCACCTCATTTCATCTCATCACGTAGGCATTGTATCATCTCACTTCATCTACAAGGAGAGTGAGTAAAGTACAGTAAGATGTTTTGAGATAGAGTGATCACATTCACATAACATTTTTACAGTATATTGTAATAATTGTTCTTTTATTTTTAGTGATTGTTGTTAATCTTTTACTGCGCCTAATTTATAAGTTAAACTTTATCATAGGTATGTATAGGAAAAAGCAATATATATAGACTTTGGAACTATCCACAGTTTCAGGCATCCGCTGGGGCTCTTGGAACAAATACCCTATGGATAGGTGGGGACTCCTGTATTATATTTTAGGATAACCATTAGGTGGGACTAGATAATATAATCTACAATGATATATTTGACACATAAGAAGATCTGTTTCCTGAGACCAGGTGGCTTAACGGATGCCTGCACTAGGACTGCTCTAGGGGACCCGGGAAGCAGTCTTGGCTTAACTTGGACCGAGCTGTCCTCTATTTGCAGGCCCCGTATGGCACCTTGCTCTCCCCCACCTGTGTACTTGCATGGGGTCAGGAGTGTTTACCATGGAGGTGTCTGGTGCCCTTTGTTTGACTAACAGTCTGACCTTTCGTACATTTCCAGATTCAAAATGTGTTGATTTATATGATTGCAAGAAGCATGAGCTAACCCTAGCATTGTGCTGCCACCTATTTCTTTACAGGCCAGGCCACTGTCATAGAAGTTGAACAGCCCCATGCTTATGCTTCTATTTAGATTTTGCGATCCTATCTTTGTCTTAAATTTTAACTTGTTTTAAAGAGATGGTGTTGATTGTTTTGAGTTAAATATAAAAAATCTATAGTTCTCATTGAACTTTTAGGTATTTAGCATATGTTGCTAAATCTTAGAGATATAATAGTGAGTTACTCAGAAAACATTCTCTTCATATTTCTTTTATGTTTTTAAACTATAAGTCTTGGACATATTCATTGCGAAATTGAAAAAAATACAATTGAGTGCCAAGTAGACATTAAATTAGAATATTTTGTATGTATGGTAAACAGAATAATGGTCCCCCAAAGATGTCCACATCCTATTCCCTGGGTTTGTGAATATGTTATGTTACGTGACCAGTACTCACAAGGGTCCTTGCAAGTGAAAGGAAGCAGGAGAGTCAGTGTTGAAATGAGAAATTTGAAGATGCTATACTGCTGGCTTTAAGGATGGAGGAAGGGGCCACGAGCCAAGAAATGCAGACTGGAAAAGCAAGGAAATGGATTCTCTCTGAAGCCTCCACAGGCACGTTAGGCCTGCCAACACTTTCATTTTGGCCCCGTGAGACCCTCCTCAGACTCCTGAACTCTAGAACTATAATTGGATAAGTCTGTGTTGTTTGAGTCCGCTAAGTATGTGGTAGTTTTACAGCAGCAACAGGATATAATACAGTATGTTTACCATTTATAGTGTCGTCACATCTGTTATCTCATTATATATACATGTATACAGTAACCGTGATATAGGCATGGTTGTCATTCTTATTTCCAGTTAGTAAATGAGAAAAATGAGGCTCAGAGAGTTGCTCAAGGCCACAAATCTAGTAGCACTGTGAACACTAGCACCTCGTATTAGAGTTGAATGAGACTGCTTTCCCTCTTGACTCTCTCGCCTCACCATCCTCAAATTCGGTAAAACGGACCCAGATTATAGGATGTATGCAGATACCATTTCTATAACCCTCCATGCCCTATCATAATGCTTATTCCTTCCTGTCTGGAGTCCTGCAGTAGCCGGCTGTCAGATTCTTAACTCATGTGATCCTCCTTTAATAATATATCAGCCTCACCATTGTCAAGGTGATCTTTAAAAAATGTTGCAAATCCTTCAGTGACTCCTCATGAATTTATAAGAAAGTACACATTCTTCACCATAGCCCATACTGCTCTTCCCTACCTGGTCCCTCTCCAGCCTCTTTGGTGTTATCTTTCTCCATTTCATCCTGAGCACTTCACCCCAGTCAGACAAATTATTTCTAGTTTTCCCAATACTTTCTCATCTATTCCTCCCCTCTGTGCCTTAGTACCTGTGAGTTCCTTGCCCTAGAATACCCTTCATCTGGCTAATTCTACCTGTCTGTACAAACTGAGCTCTAGGATTAGCTCCTCAAAGAAACCTTCCCTCCTACCCAACTTCAGTCTTCCTTTCTTTTGCTAATTAAATATCCCTCACATAAATTCATCATAGTGCACATCGCTCTGGATAGTACCTAGTGACTTATTTTTATCCTCCATGAGAATCCAGTCTTT